TCCATTTGACCTTCCCCCCCCCCCCATTTTTCGCCCTCACGACTATATAGGGCAGCGTTTCACGAAATATTGTCGTAATTACAAATTCACCGACATCTGTGTTGTCATTAACATGCGTTTAAATTCAAGATAATTTAACATCTGATTTAAAAATACAGAAATTCGTCCTCCACTGGCGAGTGACATACATATACAAGCAACACAAACAATATATAAATACACTCGGGGATACAAAGAAAATACAACAATAATGATAATAATAATAATAAAACTGACATGTAACTTTGAAAACGGACATTAAAAATTGAATCTCGACAAAGCACAGAATGCATGAAATAAAAGTGCTCTGAACATTCACCCCTTCTCTCCTAGAAATGGAGTATGAGGAAAAAACACAGAAAAGAACAAATGAGAGAGAGAGAGAGAAAGAGAGAGAGAGAGAGAGGGAGGAGTCGCATGGAGTAGAACAGAAATGAAGAGTGAGGGAGAAAGAGAAGGTGACAGAAAACGAGGAGCTCTGAGAGGAATGTCGGTGATCTTGTACTTAAGACGGTTTCACGAAACTATGCCTTAACCATAAAGAAAATGAAAATGTAAATGAAAATGTCAGCCAGTACAAAAAATATTTCTGATTAAGATCCCTTATTGTCATATGAACTGAATTATCGAACAGATGGCAAGATGATTCTTGTCGGAGAAGAAACCCGGCCGACTACGAATCGTGGTGACGTATACGCGTCCATGATTTCAGAATTCTGACTCATAATAAAATTACATAATATAAACTATATTGTGCCCTCTCATGCATATCTCCTTTCTAATGCGCAATTTCTCCTTCCTCATCTTCTTCTCAACCCCTCATGCAGCTCATCCTTTTGCATTATTTTCTGTACCCCGATCTCTTACTTCTTATTTGCAGGCGCGTAGCCAGAGTTTGATGTTTGGGGGGGGGGGGGCACATACATGTAATCGATCGAGGTCAAAAAAAGGGGTCTCCAAAATTTTAACCGATCCTGGAAATTTTAGGGGGGGCACGTGCCCCCCCCCCCCCCCCGTGCCCCCCCGTGGCTACGCGCCTGCTTATTTGGCATTGTCTATTATACTTTTTGTATTGTGACCGTATTCTCCAATAATTTATTGGCCTTAAAATACTCTCTCTTGTCCAGTTCTCGTCTCCCCTTTATTTCCTATTTTAGTTCCTTTTTGTAGTTACGATTTTGTTAATTTAATTTATCATTATTCCTAACTATCATTTGAGGGGACTACAATAATTGTACAAGCAATGCTTTATTTTAGTGGACCCCTCTGTTTCCTTATAGTAAACGAATAATTGATTTGTAATGTTTTGTTGGAGATAGGCATACAACTATATTTTGAATACATTGGACATTATTAACCTTCTAATTTTTTATTCGCTCACTTTTTCTTCTCTCTCTCTCTCTCTCTCTCATCCTCTATTCCTCCCCTTTCTCTCTCTCTCTTTCTCTCTCTCTCTCTCTCTTTCTTTTCCTCTCTCTAATCCTCCTTTACCCTGTACCAGTGTTTATTAAATAAGACAGGACAAATGAAATATTATCATTTTTATTTCATCGTTTTATTAAACATCAACCTGCGTGTTTCTTCAACTAAATCAACCCTATATAGAGACCTAAGATAGTATGCCATTTTTTTTTTAAAAGCAACAATCGACAATACTTAGCAATGAAATTGTACATGACTGTGCCCTCTGGAATTAATTCACTAAGACGGTGAAAGCGAAGGAATCGAGCGTTAGAAAATGTATATTTCTGTGGCTCCTTTATTATCTACATTATGCCAAAAACTTGCAACGTATCCGAGATTTGGGACGCGAAATTTTATGCCTGCTCTACGGTTTTAGAGTTTTCATTACATTGTTATTACAATTTGTTCAATGGCCTCAAAATCTATTTGCTGATTATTTTTCTTGTACTCTGCGTGCATGTATAGCCCAGGTGGTCTGAGACCAAAGCGATAAATCTATCTGGTTCAAATAACTGCAATAGGCCCACTTGGAATCCAGTAAGAATCATAATTTGTTTTCACAATTTCGAGACGATAAAAGCCAGGTCGGGTGTACGTGACATCCGGACGTGACAAATTAAAAATGAATGCATAAATGATTCCTCGAAACGTCTGAACAAAAGAAAATTGAAGTTTCGCAGCGATGGTGCTTCATCAGGTAAATACCCGGACAACGGAATCATTTATTTATTTTCAACTAGTATTTCCGAAGCATTCCGAAGCAGACTACTATATTATACAGGCATGTATTTGATACCAGCTGATTCCAGTTGGAAACCAGTAGATGCATGATTACCAGTTGCTTTACCATTTGAAAACCAATACATGATTACCACTTGAATTACCAGTTGAAACCTGTAGATGATTACCAGATGATTTACCAGTTGAAAACCAGTACATGATTGCCAGTTGATTTACCGGTTGAAACCAGTAAAATATCAGTTGAAAAACCAGTTCAATGTATCTAATGCATATTCATGATTAATTTGCATGTTAGCTCGCTAGTACTTAATTAATCTTATACTCAAATGTAATGCGCCTCAAATGATTATGTGATGGGGTCTAGCAAGAGTCTAAGTAAATATGGTTTAGTTGGTTGCCAGATGCTAAGCAATATTGATTATTGATTATCAACTGATTGCTGGTCGCTACTGGTAATCAACTGGTTATTGATCAACTGTTTGTTTCCAATATGGAAATTGGTAAAATGGATCCAACTGGTACCAGTTGACAACTGGTATTCCAACTGGAATCAATTGGTTACCAGTTGATTCCAGTATTCCAATATCCATATTGAATCCAGTTAACTAATTGGAATCAACTGGTACCAGCTACCAGTTAATTCCAGTAAACCAATTTCCATATTGAAACCAGTTCACTTAACTGGAATCAACTGGTACCAGTTGACAACTGGTCCAACTGGAATCAATTGGTTACCAGTTGATTCCAGTATTCCAATATCCATATTGAATCCAGTTCACAAATTGGAATCAACTGATACCAGTACCAGTTGGTTCAACTGGTATCTAACTGTTTTTTCGACCTGGGCATGCATTTCGGACTCTTTGTAACCTAGCTATATCAGAGAATCAGGCATTCCAAACAGCAACCCATTACAATAATCAAGCTTACTTGTGATGAGAGCATATCGAACCAATTTCATACTTTCTTGATCAAAATATCTGCGGATACGTCTGAGATTGTATAGAAGATAGTATGTTGATTTGCATATATTTCTAACATGACTGTGTTTCCATGTTCAAATTAGTATCAAAGTATACTCCTAAATTCCTTGCTGTAACAAAGGGTTTCACATTGGAGGATCCAACTCTTATTTTGAAATTTGTTGTGAAGTTCCGATAACCCAAAATGCACGCTCACTATCGTTTAGCTTAAGATTATTATTAAGCATCCATATATGAATGACATTTTTACACTTTTCCAACATTCATTCTTTTATTCATCAATTCATCCATCCATTAATTTATTCATCAGTCATTCATCAATTTATTAATTTATTCATCAGTCATTTATCAATTTATTCATTTATTCATTTTATCCATTCACCAATGCCTTTGTTTTTGATTTTCATAAATTTCGTGTTTCTATTTTGATCCTTATTACCCTGAAAATATGTTTAAATTATAATTTGAAACAACTTTCAATTACATCTAAATCATTCAAATTTACGTATCCAAAGTTTTGTATGTTTATTTTTTAATGTCAGTTAGGTTGAATGGTTTTACTTACACACAGGTTTTGTTCTACTGTTGAGGCTCTAACTCTGACTCGAAGGAAAACATAAAGAAAATGATAATGGTGATAAAAAGAAGAAGAAAATGATCAACTATTACAAAAGATACACTGACTATACACTTGACATATTTAAAATTGTATTTTCACATTAACCTATTGACAACTAAATGTATTCATTACTATAGGCTTAATACAGGGGCCACTCGGTTCCAGTGTAAGCAATGGGTTAAATGAAATATGTTGAGGTAGCAGTTTAACAGAAAAAACACACAAAACATTGTGTTATAATAATGATAATAAGTTGATTTGATTTTGGTTCGGTTGATTGATTTCTCAATTTTTCATACAATAATAACCAGTAACAATCTGAACATTTTGTACATAGTGGTGAATCACCGTCATTGAATATTATTTGTTCAACAAAATGTTGGGAACGATTGACATAGCAAAATGCAGAAGAGCTGCAGCGTAAGCGTACACTTGAAGTGCATGCAGCTCTTTAACTTATGATAACAGCAACAGCAAAATATGATAATATAAACAGGCAAAAAACAATAGGAATTCACGGCATATTAAAATGAAGACAAAAAATAATGATAATAAAAATAATAATAAGAAGAAGAAATAATAATAGCAATAATGATAACAATGGTAATAATCATAACAACAATATTCAAAGCACTTTACAATAATGTTATTATCAGAAGAGGTGAGCTTTTGTGATATTTTTGGAAGGCATTTAAAAAGTGCTGGTTGCGAATCTGGGTAGATTATTCCATAGTTTTGATGCAGGAGTTGTGAATGCTCTGTCACCAAGGGTTGGTAGCATGATGCCCTTGAGAGGAGCGAAGGGAGCACGGGAAAACTGCCTGGTATTTACATGTATGCAGGGGGCGTTTCACAAAACTTGTCGTCGGAGACAAATGACATTTTTTTGTTATAACCTACTGAAATCCTTGCTTCTGATTGGCTATTAGCAGATTTGTCACTGATTTTTGTCATTTGTCTTTGAAAAAAGGCTTTGTGAAACGGGTCCCAGGAGTTCAGATAATAATAACGGAGCGAGACCGTGGATACATTCGAAGGTGAAAAGAAGTAGGAATTACTTTTATATGTACATAATGTATCTCTTATCATTTTAATAGTAGGCATCTACAGGGTCCGTCTTACAAAGAGTTGCGATTGATCCAAATCAATCGTAAGTCCTCCGATCAATCGCAAGTTTGCAATCTCCTATCTCTTGTGTACATAGCTGCGATTGATATCAATCGCAAATAATTTGCGATTGATATCAACTCGTTATAATACAGGGCCCAGATCTTCATCACAACGTTTAAACAAAGTGTACATAAGAGTTTTGATGTTTGTTTCTTTCGTACTTCCATTTTGTGGTAATTTTCCTGAAATCGCCTATCACCCTTGACAGAAGGGATAATATTTATTTGTTTTGAGATAAAACACGCCTTCGTCATGAATGGGACTTGCAGTGTAACCCATATCGGGACAAGCCATGTTCCGACAGTCCCGGGTTTGTATTCCCTTCTTGTAGTTGTCCCATTTAGGTGCCCAAGTGGTGGGCCTGAAGCGGCATGGGGTACTTTTGGAGATGCTCTCGGTGTAGTATGCAATGGCTTTCATATGGTCGCAGATGATGCTGAAGTAGCAATTGGGCATGTCCGTCCCTCCGTTGGGGTAGAAATCTTGGTGGCCAAGCTGTGAAAAGATTTAGGACAAAGAAGCGACTGAGTGTTCAGAGAATATAGGGAAATACTGGCAAACTTAGGAGACCACAACCCGCCCTTGTTTCTACCCTTGAAATTCCCAGGGAATACACTAAAGATTCCTTTCAATTTGAGACCTGAATAATGACTCAAAAAAATAAGTCGGTCTGTTGGTAAGTCAATAAAAATCCTGAAAATCCTTCTTTTTTTCCCCGGAAAATAATGTGCCCCCTGGCCCACCGCCAAGGTTTTTGTTTTTTTTTGTTTTTTTGTTTTTTGGGGGGGAAGGCGTAAAACGTGGAAAAGTAGGAAAGAGGGGAAAAGAAAGAAAAAGAGAAAGAGAGAGACAGAGAGAGAGACCGAGAGACAGACAGACAGAGACAGAGGTAGAGATATAGATAAAGAGAGTTGATGGGTGGGAGGCGGGGGTAGGCGAAAATGAGGGGGGGGGTAGAGATAGTACCCCTGTACTACCAAATTAGATTAGAAATGAGTAGGCCTACGTTTAACGTCATGTAGCCCTTTTCTGATTTCCCCTTCTTTAATCACAAAAAAGAGGAACATCTTTTACAATAGTTTCCATAGTTACCTCATCCATGAGCCCAAGCCCTCCCATTGCGATCAGTTCACCGTCAGTGTGTATGACGTCAACAAAAGTTGCATCGGATTTGTCTAGACGACAGAAGTTCCTCACCCGTTTCCCGCCAAACCCTGGGCCTGCAGGGTCCAAACCTGGTATAAAGATATATATATATATATATATATATATATATATATATATATATATATATAAAGAGAGAGAGAGAGAGAGAGAGAGAGAAAAGAGAGAGAGAAAAGAGAGAGAAAAAGAGAGAGAGGGGAGAGAGAGAAAGAGGAGAGACACAGACAGAGACAGAGAGAGACAGAGAGAGAGAGAGAAGGCGGGGGAGAGATTGGGTCAGTAATTAATATCAAATTAATGAAGGCCCCATTTCCCATTTTCTTTCAATAGGGGCCTACGTGTATGAGGCCGAAGCATCTGTTTGTCATATTGATATACAAAGTGGAGAGCGCCGCCGACATCGGAGGATGCTATACTACTAGCAATACTCTCTTTAAAAAAAAGAGTGAATTTTCACTCTATTTTCACTTTCTTGGGAGTGACGTCTGTGATCACTTATTTAGGAGTGCAAATCGATTGATTTTAGAGTGCTCTCTAAGAAGAACAGAGTGAATGTTCACTCTATTTTCACTACATTTTCACTCTCCAGAGGAGTGACGTCCGTGATCACTCGATTTTTTTTAGAGAGTACCGCTTCAACAAAGGCGAAGTTCACTAGTATTCTATTGCATCAGGAAACAGATTTGCATAATTACGTAACAAGAAAATGGAATGTAAAAATAGCTTTAAGTAATTCAAGCTATATGCCCCCCCCCCGCAATTAATATCATATTTCTAATTTAGGGCATTTACTCAGCACTGCGCAAATTAAATGACAAAAATACCCCCCCCCCCCCTTTCTTGGGCCTGCAAACTCGGTGGGAAGTACGCCTTATGCCAGACAAGAACCTCAAGTGTACAGCTGCTAATACATTAGTGAGAACAGTGCATGAACACAATTTTAAGGAATTGTGTCACTTTGCCAATACTGTTTGATCCATATTTGATCTGCCATATATTCAAAATAGTTTGTATATTGTACTAAACAATTAGAATACACGTAATGCTCTTGGGGAAATATTATTAATATAGACGTAATCGAATCCAAGACACCTTTCGCCAGAGTGTACATCTTATGGGCGAAAGAAGCGTGCAAGGACCGGAATAGGCTTGAGAAAAATAATGCTCAGTTACGATTCTTTAAGGGTCCAATGCTACATGGGTCTAATTGGGTGACTATTTCAGGACAGGTTCTTAGACTATGTCAGTACTTTCCTGATAAACTCACCCTTTTCCCCAATGATCTATGGGATATACTCCCTGTACTGTACTTTTTTGTCCTCTTTTCATTGTAAGCGCTATTATATGGTACTTATTGTTTTTAGCGCTCCTAATTATTCGATATTATTATCATTATTATTATTATTATAAAGAAAATGGTATGAACGGACCGCGTCTTATTTTTTCGTACCACGGCGAGGCCAGATTCCAGTATGTACTCATTTTCATACATAACAAGCTACGTACGTAAGCGGTCACAAACAATCAGACTTTGATTATTTATTGCTTTGGCAAAAAAACTGAATAAACTGAGATTTGAACCCTCAAGTCAACGTCAAAGTGCTATTAGTAACACGCTGTCCTTACCGATTGAGCTGACGATGAGTTGATGAAGGATTGATTTGTATAATAACTCTCACCCTATTGACCACCCAACCGGATTCCATGTGCGCATGCGCTGGTTTCCTTCGCGAGTGCGCATGCGCAGGTTTCCCTCGCGAGCTCAACCTGGCCTCGCCGTGGTACGAAAAAATAAGACGCGAACGGACCGGCAAAATGTTGAGAGTCAGGTATGCAAACCGTTTTCCGAAAAATCAACTCAAGGGCATTATCAATGCGCTATTGACTCCTACAGAAATCATGTTGAGATAACGTAATAATGCGTCATTGTCATGATGATGGTGCATCTTATTTTTTTAACAGAATGTCGGTAAGCCCACTATCATTGTTATTATCTTTTTAGGGGGGGCGCCACTCTTTGCTTGATTTAATGTACAAACATTATACATATAACAATTGTATTGTACATAACTACTCTTACTTATTTATTACATATTAATAGGCTCACAGATAATATAGACATTCTTTCTTCAGGCCTATATAACACTTATATTCTCTTTATACTTGTATTTTACATCATTTATACACTTTCATTTTGATACTAGGCCCCTTGCATACCGTAAGCTTTATATCCTGCGTCTTTACTAGATGCATTATGTGATTTTCTCAACCCTGTTGAAGATACCAGATTCCTGTTTAATTCCTCATTACTCTAATATAATGCTGCTTGTATCATAATGATTTATAATTGTCTTGGTACATCTGAATTATATCCTTATTTGTAGGAATATGCGATATGTAATAAAATAATGTGTCATTTTAGTCTTAGTTTTTGGAGGGAGGGAGGAGTTAAGATTTTTTTTCAAACAATTTGCAATATTATGTATGTGACAATGTTATGTTTATATTTAAGTTGATTTGGGAGCAACATTGAGGGCTCACATACCTCCGGGTAATAGTGTTGAATTTCACTTTTGTGAGCCCTGGCCCACACGCTGCTCCCTCCCTTTTCCTCTTGTATTTCGTATGTATTGCATGATCTGTCAAAATGTAATTGTATTGTGCTTTTATGATTGGCCGAATAAATAATAACAATAATTTTAAAAAAAATCACGTACCTGATATTCTTCCGATCATTTCATGGGTGGATGACCCTGCGTAGCCCCCAATGTGGGCGCCCAAGCTGTGCCCAATGATATGGACGTCGATATAAAGAGCCCCGCCGTGTACATTGAGGGCTTCGATTAACCTGGCGACCTGGCGACCGACCACGCGAGAGTTGGCTCTCGACGTCGGGTATTGTCTTCGAGCACCCAAAGACCAGTCGACCATGATCACGTTGACGTCTTCCTTTGTGTTTTTATAAAGGTAAAAGTGGCGAAAAGTGTCAAAATACCGAAATATCAGCCCTTATTAACATTCAGGGCTGTATTGCTTTAAAAAGAACACATGACGCAACCATGGAAACTTTACACAAGATCGCAAATTATTTATTTTTAAAATCTATAAGAGGCAAATTCAATAGCCTGATTGTGATGCTTCAACTGTTAAATGTTAAAAATAAAGATTATGACACATCTTCTTGTCATCCGAACTTTATTTCTGTTGGTTGTAAAAGAAGGTATAGAAATAACCGATAAAGTTAATTACTTATATAGTTTGCGATCGTGAATATCTACAAATAAATTCAAATTAATGGAAAATAATGAATTAAGGAGAGACTGGCAGTTAAAGAGGGAGTGGGAAAGGATGGTACCAAGAAAGAAATTATATTAGAGGTGAAAGAGAAGAGGAAGAGGGACGAAGATCGAGAGTGGGAATAAGAGGAGAGAGAGAGAGAGAGAGAGCGACAGAGACAGAGAGAGCAAGAGAGAGGGGGAAGGAGAGGGGTGAGGGAGAAATAGCGAGATAGAAAGAGAGAGTGGGGGGATATATTATGGAGGGGAAGCAATGTATTACTTCTGCACATGACAGTATTACAATTTCTCATAACAACTTCTGTTAAAATAATATTCTCTTGTCTTCCACGTACCCTCAAAAGCAGAGCGTCCCTCATACCAGTCCACCTGTATCCCTCCATACTTCCCTTCCAGCCGTGTATCAGAATCTTCGTACCCCTCCTCGCATCGAACTTCGACGCTGTAATCGTTGACGGAATTTTCCTGTCCATCGACTCTCCAACTCCGACGTCGCCGGCGGTCGAGCGGGTGAAGAGAGTGAACGTCGTGCCGATCTTGGCCGGCGAGTCCGGGTGTCGATGATGGCAGGTAAAAAAGACTCGACTAAAGCAACCCACATCGTCGTAGCAAACTTTACAGAGCGCTAGAAAGAGGGACAGCAGGATAATATTTCCTTTATAACACTATGAACATGACTGACAATGAGAGCGGACAAAATATACAGTTCCTCAGGTAGACAAAGGAACATCCCTTCACAGCTATTATGTAAAAAGGTGAATATGCATGTGACACCTGTTCTACACATTTTTACATAATAGCAGTAAGGGATGTTCCTTTGTCTACCTGAGGAACTGTATATTTTGTCCGCTCTCATTGTCAGTCATGTTCATAGTGTAAGTATTACATCTGTAAATAAAGATTACTCAAGGGTGACAAGAAATGTGGTCTGTATAAAAGCAGGTGATCTATATGCACATGCAGATGTAGCTTTTGTGCATTTCAGAGGGGAACACTTCTCAGAACGACCTGTTTAGACAGGTGGTCTTTCTTTACAAGTGGTCACAAATTGGGTTCCATTGTAATCCGCAAGGGAAAATACCTGCTTCATGGTAAGACATTGGGAAAAACAAAATACGTGAAGATTGTTGCATTCATGAGCTCCAAAAAGGTCTAAGCATAAATTTCAATGCTTCAATCTGTAAGAATAGCTCAAAACCATTAATGACCCATTAACCCAGAATCGGACTGTCTCGAACTGACCAACAGGCTGACGCCACTTGCCCGAATATCATCTTTTCTTTCGCGAAAGAGTAAGAGTTTTGATCATTTATAACAGTACGAAAATTTGTACTCACAATCAAATGGAATCTGCAATCATCTAATAACTCTATTTAAATTATATAGGAATAACAGTAAGGTTAGACACAGTGCTACATGAATAATGAGATATAATTGGGTTTCGTTGGCCGAGGGGGAGCCACATCTGTATTTCCCGCAGGCCCCAGCCAGGGGCGTACGCAGGATTTTTTCAAGGGGGGGGGGGGGTTTAAAATATTTTGCTCCCGAAAATTTGAAAATCGCGCCGGCCGAAAAGTCGCTCAGTAGGGGGGGGGGGGGGGGGGGGGGGGGGGGGGGGGTAAGCGGACACTTTTTTTTTTTTTTTGGTCTCAAAATTTCAAAATTGGACATTTTTCTTCGTTGGGGGGAGGGGGTAAGGTCACCTTATTTAGGTTAGCCGTGGGTATAATTTTTTTTTTTTTTTTTTTTTTTTTTTTTAAATAAAAAAAATTTAAAAAAAACCCAAAGGGGGGGGGGGGGGTTTAGGTTTTTTTAGGGGGGTTTACATACATAAAAATACCAAAGGGGGGTGTTTAATTGAACCCCCAACCCCCCCCCCCCCCCCCCCCCCCCCCCCCCCCCCCCCCCCCCCCCCTCTGCGTACGCCCCTGGCCTGTTACATATAAAATAATAGTCGAGGCAGGTTTCTGAAAATATATGCCACTATTTACGTAAACATTGAAATCTACCTGTCGATACAAATAGTGCAAGGGCGGTATGACGTGTGCGAAACATTGTATGCAAATTCACTGTAGCTACATTAGGTTGATGACTATTTTTAGAAACAAGTGCCTCGACCTACAACCGATTAAAGGGGAAGTTGATATTAAAGGTAAAGACCAGTATTGGAAGCGCCCCAATTTCAAAAAATGAAATGGAAGCTCTTTATAACCAATCATGTAAAAGAATATGTTTTGAATATTACATGACGATAAAAATGTTGACGGGAAACCGCCTACTAATTGATATATTTGGTAAAGTCATCTATAGACTGTTAAGAGATACAAATGCACGTGTCGCGCACGTGTGTGTAGTCCCATATACATCTTTCTGTGTACAGTGTTTCTAACTTTATGAAGACTTGGCCAAATTTCTTATAATTTTGATGATTCCAGAACCTTGCAGTACATCTATGCTAGATGATCAACCTTTTCTGATCGATTTCACAACGTTTCTTTCACTATGCAATTGCATGACCATAACTGGTCTTTAGCTTTAAGTTTTTTTTTTTTTTTAAACAGAAAATGAGAGAAACAATTGATTGACCTGCATTTTAAAGTAATGCCTACTGTTTTGTGTGTGTCAAAAAAAAAATTATACGGTTAAAACAATAGACGGCTCATCGTCAATCCACCTTAGAACATTATGCTTCCTTTTCGATCGCTTTCGGAGCTGGCGGCGTGGGGTGGGTCAATATTAAGGGTCTTCGTTTTCTCCCCTCTCTTTCTCACTGTCGTATTCCTCCTCCTTTGTTTCTCTTTAAATTTCCTGCCCCTATATTCCTTCAGTCTGCCCTCTACCCAACTCTCTCACTCATTTCTCGAACAGTCGCCAACGAATCATGTTCTCTTTCCATCTCTCTCCACCTCTTCTTCTCTTGCGTTCTCGAACTGTCGTCCTCCTTTTCCTCTATGTGCCCTATTCCACTATCCCTTTCTTTCTTCAATCGCCCCTTGCTTTCTGTCTGTCTCTCTCTCTCTTTTCTCAAACGCTCGCCAATTACGGATCATGTTCTCTCTCATCTCTCACTGTCGTCCTCTGTGTCTCTTTATTCCCCCGTCGATCCATTTCTTTCTCCAGTCACCCCCTTCCTTAGTCCAGCCTCTGTACCGTTTTCGTTTAGCGCACCCAATCAGCTGATAAAATAACACACCCTCAACGTTGAAAGTAGACCTAGCCATTCCTCTAAATCTGGACCTCGAATTCGTGTGGACGGAAATTTGGGGATTGCGCGATCAGTGGAGAGACCGCGCTGTGTGTGGGGTATAAAAAGAACGAACGGACTATTCCTCTGTGTGTCTCTCTCTTTCTCTCAGTTATGATGTGTTCGCATCTAGTCTCATGGCATCAATCTCTCTCTCTCTGTACCACCCCTTTCTCTTTGTATCTCATTTGTTATGTTCCCTGTGTCTTAAGACACTTTATGATTTATCTCCCCCTCCCCTCCCCCTCTCTCTCATTTAATCACCCCCCCCCCCTCCCTAACTGCTATTTATCAGCTCTATCGTACTGTTAAAGTATAATTCATCTCATTAATGCTTGTATATATCCAAAACACACCAACAAAGACACCATTGCAAAACAGAAATTAAGTTTTTTTGGCTTTTATTGATATATAATTTTTTTTTTTTTTTAATTGGTATATAATTTTTTGCAGGAGCAATGCATAATATATTTCAAGCGGCATTATCTTCGCTTTCCGTTACAATATTGATAACAAATTGATTTCAGTTGATTTTTCGGTAAGTTGTTTTCCTACTGCAGGGTGAATTAGGTTGACATCACTGTTTGGAGTGAGTGCTAGGTTGTATGTGAGCACATGTGGTGCTTAAGGTCCAGGTTTATTATGCTAACTTATGCTCTACTGCATTCTATTTGAATTTCTTTATGACTTTCATCTGCCCATTTTTTAAAATAATTTTTTGATTTTCCAGTAATAAATAAATCTCTTGATAGACTATTTCATAATAGCTTGTGAAATTCAATACATAATAAATACCCCTATAAATTTCTCTCTTTGATAGATATAAATAGGATTTTTTTTTTCTCTGATAAACATAAATATAGATAAATATTCTCTCTCATAGATAAATATACTTTGTGCCACAAATTGGCAATTGCACAGAAATGATTTTTGCTTGGTGGCGATGCAGTGTGGATCCAGAGTTGTGTGGATCCACAATTGTTGTAGGTTCGATGATGATGCTGGTTGTACTGGTGGTTCACAGAACAGGTTGCAAAACGGATTGGTTCATATGGATGGATGATGGTTATGGGATGATGCAGTCTTCCGCTCAAACCAGAGAGAGATGGAAATCTCAGAGCGTCCTCCGGATGGCCTAAGATGTTTCAAGGCCATCGATCACGGCTACGGTTCTGATGGTGATGTGGTTGTTGAGAATGCAAGGATGACGTCAGATCTTAACGAGTCATCTCTAACTCCATGCTGTGGTAAGGTGTTACTGTCAGCAATGGAGTTCTCCTCACAACCAATGGAACCGCTGGGCAGATGTTGAAGGTTGAGGACGACTACACCTAAGCAGGAAAACTAACAGCTCCTCGATACCGTTCGATTATTTTGGTTGATATTATAAACCCCCTCCCCAATTTTGATGAAAGGCTCAGTCGTTTAGATATTTCCCCAAAAGTTTACTTTACACTGTACCGGTACCCTGTGTAAACGTAACCCCCCACCCCCCATCCCCTCCCAAATTGACAATTTGAAACCCAACCCTAGTTTGCATTATGTAGCTTTGGACTCGATATCATGATTCTGCTGGTAAAATTTTAGTTATACCCAATCCTAAAGAAGTTAAAAGCCTAAACCCTGAATTATGTATTTACTATAGCTAATTTGAATTTGAGAATTGTTTTTTCAACTGTTTGAAGTATGCTTTTAAAACATACCAGTAATATGATTTATTTGCATTGGACTCACATTTTTTAATACATGGACACTGTTTTTGTCACTTTAAAACAAAAAGATTTTCGATTTAAGTTTTTTGTTTTTTCTATTTTTCTTGACTCTTAGTCAGGTTGGGTTTGATGTCTTTGAAGAATCAAACCATCTTAATAAAAATTGGTAAAAGTGGCTGGCATTACTTTGATGTCGTAATGCCTTGACCGAGAACCAAGACCAACCGGCAAAGTTGGTCCTAGGTGAATCTGATATACGTTTTGAGTTGGTGATGATCCAGACTGTTGGTGAGGTGTCTAGTAACCCATACAAGTCAAAACCAAAGATCTACTTGGCTTATCGACAACCATATGACTGGTGATAACCTGCATGGACAAGGGATGCCTAGACATGACCTGTGATAACACCACTGATGTGTTGGTGCACATGGGTCAATGATAGTGATGGTCTATGTCACTGACCATACAGGGACCCGTCACGTCAGAATCTGACATGATCAAGGATGTTGATTGATCGTTCAGCACTTTGGGTATGAGCTAGTAACATCGATTATAGTCGGACTATTACTTCTTATTGCTTTATTTCTATCTTTTGAATATGAGATCTAGATATTGGACTTGAGACTATAATAAGGTAGGACAAGTGAAGCACACTGTCAATGATATTGATGTAAGCACCTGAGGGTAACACTGTTGGTGTTGGTGACTAGTTTTTGGCAACCTAAAGTACACTGTCGGTGTTGGTGACTAGTGTTTGGCAACCTAAAGCACACTGTCCGTGTTGGTGACTAGTGTTTGGCAACCTAAAGCACACTGTCGGTGTTGGTGACTAGTGTTTGGAAACCTAAAGCACACTGTCGATGTTGGTGACTAGTGTTTGGCAACCTAAAGCACACTGTCCGTGTTGGTGACTAGTGTTTGGCAACCTAAAGCACACTGTCGGTGTTGGCGACTAGTATTTGGAAACCTAAAGCACACTGTCGGTGATGGTGACAAGTGTTTGGAAACCTAAAGCACACTGTCGGTGTTGGTGACAAGTGTTTGGAAACCTAAAGCAGACTGTCGGTGTTGGTGACAAGTGTTTGGAAACCTAAAGCACACTGTCAGTGTTGGTGACAAGTGTTTGGAAACCTAAAGCACACTG